CATTTATATTGGGGTTTTTTTTCCAGTTTTTGTTGTTCACCACCCACTTGATTGGATGGACTACAAATGCTATCTAGAAATTAATTAGTAAACTATTGTGCCAAATGTGTCTGTAGCCTATACATTTATTAAATTCAGATGGTTTCCAACTTATTTTGTCAGAAACTAGATAGGGAGTTAAAAGTTACAGGTGCTGTATTTCTTTTTCCACTTAATCTTCTACAAATTCTCCCTCTCCCTTGCTTAAAGTTTAAGCCTCCATGATATCACTCCTTGCTAAGAGAACACAATGAAGTCACTCAATTATACAAAATGAAAGTTACATTTTGTATCATTTCAAGAAATTATAAAACTTCATTGTATAAATAAGCCCATTGTTCAACTCATTCTAACATCAGTTATTGTATCCTGTTGTATTATTACAATAAGTAGTCAGATGCCTTTTTCTTCTATTGTCTCAGAAAACCATTTCATATTTTTATGATTCCATGGGCAAAGTACATCAATTAAACTAATTATTTATGTAGTGATCCAGACTGCCTATTCCATGAGGTGAATTCAGTATCTCTAGTAGTATCCTATGTTTTTGGAGTAACTTTGGTTTCACTTGTAAGAATACTTTCAGCAGTACTGCTACAAGTGTTTCTCTTCCCTTTGGTGGTGGTTTGGGTGGTGAAACCATCAGTCATTCCTCAAGAGGAACAGTGAGAAGATGCTTTCACTCTGGATCAGAGTAATTATGACTGGCTCATCACCCAATCCTAAGGATTGCCCAGAAAACTGCATTCAGAATAATTATTACAACATGTGTGTGTGTGTGAGAAAGAGAGAGAGAGAGAGAGAACACACACTTATTATGTAATCAAGGAAACTCCAAAGGTGCTCTTAGTTCTTAAGTAGCCTACTCACTCTGAAATATTCAATTGGAAAATACCAAAAAGAGAGGCAGAGAGCATAGGATACAACCGCATCTTCAAACCACCTTCAATTTTGATCTTTTTCTTGCCAAAGTTTACAATATGCTTCCTGATTTACAGGGAAACTACTCCACCTCCTGGATTTCCAACCAGAATAACTTCTTTTGTTTTCAATGGGCTCTGAGAGCAACTGACATTGCAGCATTTTTGAGGCTTAAAAAGGATGGGATCAAAGTATTTGTTTTTAAAGTACCGATCATCTGTCAGCTCATTCAGTAACCAGATTTAAAAAATCCAAAATATAACCAAGTCAACCTATCAGACATATTAATTTACAGTTGTAGACAATCATACACTAACTTAAAAATAGCACTCTTCTGGCTATATTCCCAGCAGTTAGTATGCAGACACACGCTGCCATTAAACTGTATAGTACTTTGAATTCAATTCCAAAAAAGGTGCTTTAGAACATGTGGGGGTGCAAATGTTGTACCTGCCTACAACTCTTTAAAACAGATGTGCTTTTTCTCAAGATCACATCAGCTATGGAGGTCTAGAAACCATAAAATTTATTTATTTATTTATTTATTTATTTATTTATTTATTTAT